CACAACTTAAGGCGTCATAGTCGTCAAAATTAAAATTTAAATCTTGCTCGTCGTTGATTAAAGCATCTGTATCAGTCTTTTCTCTTTCATGGGTAATTACTACATTTTCTTTGTTTGAAAATTCTTTGTTTTCTTCGCTTGAAGCTTCATTGCTAATTTTTTGTGATTTGAAATTTACTGTTTTGTTTTTGGATCTTTTTCTACTTGATGTTTTAATTTTCATGTTACGATCATCATTTTCAAAACTTTTAATTATTTCGCCAGTTACTGCCATGGTCTCTATGTTGCACAAACTTTCTGAATTAATTGTTGGTACGTTTTCTAAAGTGTCAGTTGTTGAAGATTCAGCACTTGATGAAGCACTTAAGTTTACAAGCTTTGGGCTATGTTGAGGTTACCCATTATGTTTGTAGCGTAGTGTGTATCCATCAACATTTTGATATCTTAGCAACGAGTTAATGTACGGGTTTTGCCAGTTTTTAATTATAATTATTACATTAATTGACTTGTGGGGGCCACATTACCTCGGTCAGCAGAGACTTGTTTCGTTTCCTAAAGGAGCTTCATAACCCGCTTTACGGACTAAGAGTAAGGTGAGTTTGGGAAGAGCGAAGATATGTTAAAGAAAGATAGAAGTAGTCGAGTTAGAAAGATAGCATAGAGTTAGCAGACAGGATTGCACATTGTTAGAAGGTGCATTACATACTGTTAGTTTAGTTTTTACCTAACTAATGAACGCCGACAAAGTTGTGATTGGAGTTCACATTACATGAGCTCTGGTATTGTGATTTAACCTCCTCCGGCTAATTGCCATATGGAGGTCACTTTACCAGACATCCGCAAAGACTAGTTGAGCTTCCGAGGGAGCGTCATACCCGCTCTGCGGACTGAGAGTAAGGTGAGTTTGGGAAGAACGAAAATATATTAAAGTGAAAGGTAGAAGTAGTCGAGTTTGAGAGGTAGTATAAAGTAAGCGGACAGGATTGCGCACGATGTTAGAGGGCGCAATACGTACTGTTAGTTAGGTCTCCTAACTCATGTACGCCGACAAAGTTGTAATTGGAGTTCACTATTTTTTTTTTTTTACCAACCAACTAGGGACACCTGCTGCTAAAACCAGATTTACACAGGACCCTAGAATGCCGGTGTTATTTGGGAGCCGAAACTCCGTGTTATGGTCCAGTTAAGGGTTTTGGTATGGCCCACTTAAGGGTTTAGTTGCCACTCAACCAAAACTGAACAACATCAACATAATGGTTTATCGCCATTTAACATCCAGAGTGGACGGATCGCTTTGAAATTTCCAGACGTAGAAGGAGACACTGAAAAAGCGACTGCGCCAAGAACCTCTATTGACTGTCACGGTTTCGATCCAGTGCTGTTTCTGCTTTCTAACAACACCGTAACCAATTGTGAGATGGTCCGGAGCCAAATTAAGTAAAAATACAACACTTGATCTTAGCCATTAGGCCGAGAAGCGATTGGAGGTCACATTACATAAGCTTTTTATCAATTTTTTTAATCGTCCGAGGACATGTAATAGTTACCTTTTACAAAGAAATTTACTTCTACACTGCTTGCGGGTTTGTATTATTATTAACAATTATTTATTTTTAACAAATATTTATGTTTTTTATGTTATTTATGTTTGTTTGCTTAAAATCGCCTAATATTGCGCTTGTGGGTTTTTTTTTTAAGTATTTTTTTAATACTAAATATAAAATAAAAACTTTTTTTTTAAATACATTTGAATAATATAACTTACAACATAATTTTGTCTAGTAATAATCTAAAAATATATAAAATATATGGGAGGACGAGGATGGCAATCCAAATATTTGTACGGTGTTTGTATGTTATTTTACTTTTATATAAAAAACATTTATCCTTTAAAAAAATATATTCCGCTCCTTTAATCCAGAAGGCTAAATAAGCGCAAACTGGCATAAGTGCAAATTAGCATAAGTGCGAGGCGTTGCAAAAACTGGCACAGTTTCGAAGTGGCATAAGTGCGAAATATAATAAATTGCGTTATACCAATATTTGCAGTTTTATTCGGCGTACTTATGCAAGTTCGCAATTATCACATTTCGCACTTATGACAATGTTTGCAAATTCTTTTGGCTCACTTATGCCAATTCGCCCTTATGCCAGTTTGCTCTTGTGCCAGTTTTTGTAACTGCTTTGCACTAATGCCAGTTCGCACTTATGCCAATTTGCATATATAGTATCGGACAAAACAAGTGCAACCAAATAATGCTAATTTAGTTTCTTTATATAAAAGTGTTGCATTTTTTCAATTTAGAGAAATAGCTATGTAATTGTTTACAGACAACGTTTTTCAAGTTTTATTCACCACAAATTCATTATTTGTACACGAAAATTAAAAAATTAATCAAAAGTATTAAAAAAAGTTGATTTCCTTCTCGACAAAACAAGTGCAACTCCGCAAAATTTTGAGCAAGCTGTATTTTGCTATCAAAATTTCGTGGCGAATCCTTTGTTGTCGATCACAGCCTTGCATCTTCGAGGCATAGATTCAATCAGGTGATCAATGAAATTTTGCGGAATCGCTGCCCAGGTCTTTTGGATTTGTTAAAACAGTTGATCCTTATTACGATCACCTTTACAATTAATTCTGCGGTTGACGATCTCCCACAGGTTCTCGATAGGGTTGAGATGCGGAGATTGAGGCGGCCAATCCATTACCGATAGGTGGTAGTCTTGAAACAACTGCTTGACTACTTTTGCAGTGTGTTTCGGATTGTTGTCTTGCTGAAAAACCCATTTTATTGGCATATTCCATTCAGCATGAGGTAACATAACATCTTTTAGGATATTTTTATACATGAAACGATATATTATTCCATCAATTCGATGTATTAGACCTAAACCGTTAGCAGAAAAATACCCCTAGATCATTACATTGTCTCCACCATGCTTCACGGTCTTATGGCAATAACGTAAATCAAGGCGTTTTCCGGCCGGTCGACGTATATGGCAAATGCCATCGCTCCCAATGATGTTGAACTTCGATTCATCACTAAACAAGACAGTTTGCCATTTCTGCACATTCCAGTCATAATGAGATGAGCAAACAGAAGTCTTTTCTTCTGGTTTTTTAGTGAAATCAGGGGTTTCTTTGCAGGGCGTCGAGAAAACAATCCGGCTTCAACAGCACGTTGTCTGATTGTTCGATCCAATACAGGCAGCTCTAATTACTTTTGTATCTCGACTGATAATATTCAGGGATCCTTTTTGATGGATCTGGCGAGAAGTGATGGAACGTGGTCTTCCACCTTTGTTATTTGCTGCCAATATCCTAGTAGAACGATATTTGTAACAAAGTCTTGATAAGGTCCTTTTTTTCACGCAATATTTATCACAAATACTTTTTTGTGACATTCCACTTACGTAATCGCTAATAATTTTCTTTTTTAGCTTCAGGATGCGTCTGGATGCTTCTGAATATTTCTGGATACTTCTGGATGCTTCTGGATGCTTCCAGATGCTTCTTCTGGAAACTTTTAGGAGCTTCTGCATGCTTCTGGAAACTTCTGGAAACTTCTGGATACTTCCTTTAATTATTAAAAAACTTCCGTGACATTGACACGGACCAGACTTGAAATTAAAACAAACCAAAAAACTTGCACTTATTTTGTCCACTGCAAAATGGCACTTGTCAACAAAATTCCGCCTGTGTGCTGTCACCTATCAGCTGAATCCATATGTCATGGCATGCTATGACTCCAGACTCCTCAACTGTTTGCTGTAGTATAGCTCGTTTTGTTTTTAAGACATGTAAAATTAGGAACACTTTTTAACATTGTTCGATGTTGGTTGCAAATGTTATGTTGCATTGTATTACGATAACAAAATACTTGATTGAAATAGCAAAAACAAAGGATAAAATCTAGAGAAAAAACGTACTCTAACGAACATTGACCTATTCAAGGTTTACACATGCATGAAAGACCCATAGCTTAGAAATAATGCTTCTTTTCCCTCCCCGCCCCCCCCCCCCCGCTAAAGTTTAATTATGGACACTAACCTATTTCTGTTAAGCAAAAAAAAGAAGTAAAAAATCAATAATTATTAAGCGGCCCCTATTAGCACTCATGTGACAGGAAGCCCGTATTTACACTACTGGTATTTCCTCATGTAGACTATGTTTGCCCCTAATTGTAATAAAACTCCCCTTATGATATACGTGAAAAAAAAATCTTTTTCCAATTCCCTGCTACAAACACTGCCCATATACATCTAGACATTATCTGAAATGTTACCTTGAAGTGCCTTTAAACAACAATGGACTTAAATACGCTACCTAAATAAAAATTTAAATTAAACTAAATGACATAAGTGCAAATTTTGTAACCTGCAAAAAAGTTTTTTATAGACAGCTCTCGCTTAACTTTGCGTTGTGTCTGTTGTTAATAATAGTTGTTATTAAGCTTCGTTAATGAAATAATTGATTATTTTAATTGATTGACTAACAGTCAAGATAAAACGATTTACACTAAGAGTATTTTAACTGTCTCAATAAAAGTATAAAAATTACTATTTTGTATTAATAATTACTCTATTTTTTTCCTTTTGAAAAGAAATAATGTTTATGCTTATAAAAAAATCTTTCTGAAATCCATTATTGATATGATTTAGTTATATATTTTGAGTGTCTTTTATTTTTAACTTACTTCGATATATACGTTAAATCACAAGCTAGTAATAATTTAAAAAATCACAATAAGTTTTTGGAAATCATTTGACATTGCTACTGAGTGATCATTTCTTGGTAGTTATCTAATATTACGACAATTTAGCTTAACGAGGCACAATATTTGCCTTAATTTACATCACTGGATACGTCACTAATATTTATAAAATTTTTATAAAAAAAAATACTTTGTATTTAATTTTTCTTCTATTATTCTGTTAGGCTTTTTTGACACATTCCTTCAAAGTTAAACCTAAAAGTGACATACGGTTTTTTGATTTAGTTTGTAGTGATGATGACTTTCAGATGACTTCAAAAATAGGTTAGTAAAACTTTGAAACCCATTTTATTATTATAGTTTTTTTTTATTTAAAGAATTTTAGATTAGAATTATAAAAAAAAAGTTTTATCAATGATAAAAATATTAATAAATAACAAAGTATGAATAAAAATACTTTACGTAAAACCCTTAGGTTTTATGAAGAATTTCTCCATTTTGGTTGTATTTTTCTGAATTGAATAACTGTAGTAAACGCAAAAAAATGGTTTACCAAAATGTTTTATATAAGCAATATTTATATAAGCAAAGAATAGTATGTTTTAGAAAAAGAAAATGCTAACTTTTCCTATGTTCGTATTTACGTAATTAGGGTAAAGTTGTTTGTCTTAAATATCAAGCAATGCACATTGATGCGACAAAACTAACTGTTAAGTATAAAAACAGTTAAAAATAACTGTTAAGTATTTAAAAACTTGCATTAACACTTTTTTTTAAAAATTATCAAAAAAGTATAAAAACGTTTTTCAAAACCTGTTATCAGATACGCATTCAAATGCATTATATACGTATATGTGCCTTCTCTGCTTAGAACTCTTTCAAATTTAAATGAGAAGAAATTTGACATCCTATAGTAGATATTCTAAAAATGAATTTAACTTGCCTAGTTATATTATAGTTTGAATGCGTTTTTAATATGCTTAAACGAAAAAAATTTTTTTTAGGAAAGAATTTTTCTAACTAACTTATAATAACAAAAGTGATTTAATTGTTAAATATTTTTTATTCAAATTTCCTTTAAGGGAATTTTATATAACATAATTTAAAACTACTCATTAAAACACACAATTTAATAAATAGTAATCAATAGAGTAAAACTGGGTTAACCCACACACCATAACTTTCCACACACTTAATAAATTTATTAAATAAAAACTGCCCGGATATAGCTACAAAAAAAATTAAAATAGATTCAAATTCAGAATTATAAGCTGCAACAGCAAAAACAGCTTTCAATTAATGGCTGAGTAGCAATCAACTACTGCAATATTACAACAACTAGAGTGCAAAACAACAGTTTCGCTGGGCCTATCAAACACAATGTAAACTACTTCTACTAATACTACTAATATATATTTAATTAACACGTTTATAAAACAATAATTTGAATAAGTTATTTAGTTATAAATTGTAAATATAAGTTATAAAAGCAGATGATGCTGGTTGATTTTTTGCAGAACCAATTACCAAAAACAATAATATCAATAATCTTTATCTTAAAAACAGATGTCCTTTTGGATATCTGTTTTTAAGATAAAGATTATTGATAATATTATTTCTTCTAAATTTCTTCTCATTTTAACTTTGAAAGAGTTTGAATGCGTTTTTAATATGCTTAAACGAAAAATTTTATTTTTGGAAAGGAATTTTTCAAACTAATTTTAAATAACAAAGGTGATTTAAACGTTATATATATAATTTCAAACATCCCTGTTAACAAAGGGGTTTGAACAACATTTGTGAACATTTTTGCATTTTTTAATTTTGCACCATCAGATATCCATCGATCTGCACAAAGATTCAAAAGAATAAAGATCAGCTGTTTGAAAGTTACGAGATGAGGCCTTGCAAAACAGACAAGGGTGCTTTAATGTTGCAGTTTGTTTTCCAACCATTTGAAGGAATACCTTTATAGCTTCAGATAGTGCGTAATCTAATAAAGAATTGTTCAACTTATTCAAAGTTATTCGCAGTTTATGGTCTATTTTGTTTAATGAAAGCAAAATGGCTAGTATAATATATTATATTATGCTGACCATTTTGACCCATGGATATCTGATAGTGCAAAATTAAAAAATGCAAAAATATTCAAAAATGTTGTTCAACCCCCTTTAGTAACAGGGACAAAAATAAATAAATAATAGAGCTTGAACAAGCTCTGGAATCCATTTAATAGTATTTCAATCAGTTTAAGCGAATGAAAAAAGTTAGAGAATACAGCCCAAACTATATAAAAGCGCTAAAAAACGCAGTTGTTGCTTATAACTGCCAACACTTTTAAAGTAGTTTTCAACTTGCAGGTAGCTCGTAAAAAGTATAGTATTAGCCTCTTATGAACAATTGTTTAACATAAATTTTTAATATATGATATGAATATAAATGACATGCAAAATATATAAATAATAATTCAACCAAATAGATCAGAAAAATTTTACGGCCATAAAGTAGTTTTAGTTAACCCTATTGGACCCCTTATACCCGAACCCTATTGTATGGTTCCCTGATAACATTTTTCAAATTTTTTTATGTATTATATTAAACTAGATCAAAATTCATCGACAGATTTCAAAAAACAATAAAATAATCATATATAATAATAAACAATAAAAGTTACAACAATTTAAAGTTATTTCAGGGGGTAAACTTGTGGAATTTTGAACTTCTTATGTTCACAAATCTTAAACTAAAAGATAGTTTTTGATGAAACTTGAAACCTGTTGATAAATTTTGGTCTTATCTTGAACAACAAAATTACAAGGTACTCGCCTAAAATACGTGATTTTTCCCTTGGCCCCCGGTGAAAAAAGTTGTTTTTTACATTTTTGAAATAACGAAGAGTCTTCTGATAATAAACAAAAAAAAAATTCTGGGGATGTGTTGCAAGGTCTCAGAACATCTTCCTAAGCACTTGTTGTGTGTACTTGTTGATTTTATTGCATTAAATGCATTTTAGTTCTTAGTATTTTTTTAAAGCTAATGATACAACAGGTTTAAAGTTTCATTTACTTGGTTTCACCATATTTTTATACTTTTTTGCATATCCTACAGCCATTTTGAAAGTAATTATCAAGTGAAAATTAGTATGAATCTAAGCAACTTGTATTTTACTTCATAACACGACAAGCTCTTGATATCATAATGATATCATAATCAAATATTACTATTTAGATATTAAAAGAGATTAGTTGTAGAAAACTGTGCTTTACAACTAATATATGAAATTTTGTTATAAATTAAGTTTTTTTCCCTAAGTTATATCATTATATTGTGATATCGTTAAGATATCATAATGATATCATTATTTTGATATACGCCATGGCCTACTATAAATACACGGCCGGGTTTGTTGGTTTTTACGGGAAAAAGTTAGGAGGCCTTTTTTTTATGTAATTGTTGAGTTTTTATAAAAAATGCTGGAATAATAAAAATAGAAATTATTAAAACAAATAAACAACTGTTTAAAATTCTTTTTAATTTAAAGTAATATTCATAATATTACTTTAAATTAAAAACATTCATAAAATCACAATAAATTTTAAAATACTGTGAAATTAACAACAACAAATAGATTAATCATAATGCTTTCTTTTTGTTTTCTTTGATTTAAAAGCAACAATCTCGTCTTTTCTTTTTCCAATGTTGATAATTATTTGCTTGTTGTTAAAGTATATGTTTATAATTATATTATTAATAAATATTATATATTAAAATGCTGAGGAATTTAGGAGCTTTCTTGCAGCATATCTAATATTATCAGCATTTAAAAATAAATTTTCTTGAGTTAAATCTAGTTTAGCAAAGCAATGGTATATATATGATGCAAGATGTTTCCCAGGTAATTGAAGCCCCCCTCTAAAGAGCAAATTTGTATACTCAATACGTATGGTGACCTTCTTATGATTTAATAACGCTTCACATTCAGAACAAACAAACTTTTTAGAGTTTTTTTTCATAATAAATCCTGCAATGTAGGTTGCCACCTCCATGCTGTCATCGTCTAAATCAATCTCTTTAAAATCATTTTCAAAATCGATTTCACATGAAAGATCTAGACTGGTCTCTGGTTTAAGATTTAAATCCCAGTAATTTATATCTTCTTTAATTAGAAATTTACTTTGAAGCATTTTCTCAGAAGATTCAACTTCACGTAAACCAACAGGAAAACGACCTCCACTCATTTGTCTATATTTTGAAAATCGACGTTCTAGAGGGTCGCTTTGGAAACGACTTGTTAAAACGTAAGTATAACCTTCATTGAGTAAATCATCACACAAATCAGCAGAACTTTTTAATGTTTTTATCATAGCATTTGCTGTTTTCTTGCTAAGAGTAAACTTTCTACACTCCTTTAACTGTTTTATTTGCCATTCATTAATCCACTTCGAAAAACAACGTAAGAATTCAGGTTTTTTTATCATTCCTCACAACTGCATAACCAATATAGTTATTTGAATATTTTGACTTTGAATTCAATATTACCCACCAAATATTAATAAGGTGTAAAAATTCAGCTGCAGTTAAATCTTGTTGGAAGTAACTTTTAATGGCAGCTGACGTTGTTTCATGAAAAACATTCAAAGCAAGAGGTACACTTTGCTTATCATTTCCTGAATGTAAAGTTTGAAATGTGAGTTTAAGTGCCATACGTAAATTAGCACTATGTTTTTCATCCTTTTCGTAAGTTTTATGAAGAAGATGCCAAGATATTTCACCAGCAGTAACTGAAATAGTATCATAAAGTCCATTGAAATGGAAAACAGGGAACATAAACCGCTTATAATTAAGTAGATTATTTTGAATATTTTAAAGAGATAAACACTTTCATACATAAGGTAAGTTTTTTTTTTCGTACACAATAAAATGATCTTCTTCAGATATACCAATTCCGAAGCATTTAATCAACTTTCCATATCCTGATACATTTGTCAAATTGAACGTACATTAAACTCTGCTAATCTCAAAACAGACAAACTTTCTTTAATTTAAAGGAAAACTGTATCTCCATTTATTTTTGTTTGTGGACAAGACTTTATGACAAAAGGGATAGATTTTTTTAAACTCACAATCATAAAAACAAGGATACTTTTGAAAAAGTTATAATTATTATCCAAACCAACATATTTACCACCACTATACTCACTACATATCTGTAAATACGTTTCATCCAACAGTCTTAAAATACAGTCTGGGTCTACTTTTTCTTCCTCCAAAAGTAACTTAATAGCTTTTAAGGGTTCAATTCCTCGAATTTTTTCTTGTAATCG